CCAGGTCAAAAAAAAAAAAAAGAGCTTATCGTGACCAACAAAATTGGAGGCTGCGGTTGCAAGTATATTCCCTGCCATGGGATAGAAAGCCAATTCAGGAGCTCCTCTTAGGCTTTACTGCTTTTAAACAAACAAATTCAAGACAGAATAAGCAGGCAAAGATTTTTACTCATTTTTCTCTGAATGCATTTCTCAATAGTTACCATAATGACATGGGTTCTTTTCCTTTTCCTTTTCCTTTTCTTTTTTTTGAGTCGGAGTCTCACTCTGTCGCCCAGGCTAGAGGGCAGTGGCACGCTCCCAGCCACTGCAGCCTTGACCTGCTGGGCTCCAGCGATCCTTCCGCCTCAGCCTTCCAAGTAGCTGGAACTAAAGGTGGGCGCTACCACGCCCAGCTCATTTTGATTTTATTGTAGAGATGAGGGCTCGCCAAATTGCCCAGGCGGGTTTCGAACCCGCGGGCACAGGCAATACACTCACCTCAGCCTCCCAAAGCGCAAGATTTCAGGCTGAGCCACCGAGCCCAGCTTTTTTTTTAATTGTAGAGACGAGGTCTCGCCAAGTTGCCCAGGCTGGTCTCGAATCCGCGGACTCAGGCAATCCCCTCGCCTCCGCCTTCCAAAGTGCTGGGATTATAGGCGTGAGCCACCGCGCCGGGTTATGGGTTATTTTTCTAAAGAGAGTATTATTTTGTTGGTTTTTAATCCAAGCACTAGTTTCCTCAATATTTTAAAACACGAAATCACCAGATACAAAAAGAAATGATGTCTCTTATTGACATTTCTTGTCCGTAGTGTAGATATGAAAGTTTATTTTGAGTGGAAGATTAGACGTCTTCCTCTTTCCCAAACTTGATTATGGCTTCTTTTGGCTTTTTCTTCGTTTTCTGTTTTAAGGATTTAAAAAACCATAATCGATTTACAGCGAATCTTTTTTGCCTCTTCCATTAGCTAGGTTAATTCTAGACCAACAGTAAATGTATAATTCTCACACACAAAAATAGGCGAAGACAAAAGCTTTCTCACCATTCAGCTTCAAGGGCCGTCACAGTAGAACGAAGTGCGTGAAAAAGCTTTCACTACACCGAAGGAAGTTTAAACACAGTTGGAAATCCACAAGAGGGAGATACTTGCGAAACCGCCAGCAAAGAACCGCGAGGGACCCGAGAGGAGCCTTAGGAGCCGCGAGATCGGCCGCCGGAACGAGGACGGGAGGGAGCAGGCGTCTATAGGGGTGAGGCTGGTGGCGGAGTACAATTGAAGGGAAAAGCAGGATGGGCTCCGTGCCTCTGGCTGCGAAGCGTGTACTCTGTCTAAGACCGTGACCAGAAGGTAAGAGAAGAGGACGTTGCCAAGAGAGAGCACAACGCTCCCAAGCTGCCTCCGGGTAGTCTCGGAAGAAATGGGGATGGGTGTCTTTGAAGGTACTTCCGCTTAGCAACCCCAAGCGGTTGCTAGGGAGGGGGGCTGCCGCGGAGGTAAACCGGAAGTGGTTGTGTCCGTTTCTCCCTGCCTGCTCGAGGTTGGTTCTATCAGGAGCGCCAGAGTGCTCTGCGGCCCCAGGCAGAGGGCGGGGCCGCACTAGTGCTTCCGGGTTGGCCCCTGCCCTCCGCCCCCCCGCCTTCTCCTCCCTCCCGCTCCTGGGAAAGAGAGAAGCTGCCGCTGCGGGTGGGTAGGGAAACACTTGGCGCCTCAGGGAGGGGACCGCGCCTGCCTCATTTGAGTCCGGAGCGCGCCTGGACCAGGTACCTGTTCCGGCTTCGACGGGGTCCGGGAGGCTGGAGACTGCGGGGGGGGTGTGTGTCTGAAGGGACTGGTGGGGGCCCCTCCCTGGGTCCGGGCAGGGGACGCCGGGATCCCGCGTAGGGCGCGGGCTGGCAGTGAGATGAGAAGCAAATTGTAGTCTGGGAGGGTTGCGGGGGCGGGATGGAGGATCGGGACAACGCGGGCGGAGAGTTTCTGGCGGCTGGGTAGAGGCAGGCGGGGGGGGTGCCTCTTCCGAGGCTGCAGACTTCCCGGTGTGGAGCCGGAGTTTGCCACCTGGAGGGCTCGCCGTGAAAGGGGAAGCATCCTCCCGGCGCCAGAGGAGGGCATGGGTCTCGGCAGCTAGCACGACGATCTCGCGCTGGCCTTGCCTGTGTTCCCGGCCAACTCCGCCCGGACTGAGCGGGGCGCCCAGCGTTCCAGGGGCTCTGTCGATTCGTCTGGGCACCGCGGGAGCCGCCCTTGGCAGGGCTAGGGCAGGAGGGTGGGTAACGAGACCTCCCCCCACCCAACTTCCGTGCGCTTCCCCCACTTCTTCCTTTCCTGCTCCTCTCCCCACGTCCTATGGAGCAGGGTTCCCCAAGTGGGCAGGCGTCGCAGCGTAAAAGAGAGTGGTATTGGGTTTCTTTCCTCTGAATGATACTTCAGATGTTTGGAAAGTGCCTGATTGGCGTATTCAGCCAAGTCTCCCAGCCCGATGTTAAATCTGGTATACACTGTATCAGAAAAGCGCAAATCCGAAGAGCACCTAACTGCAGGCTAGCCAGGCGTGACCTTGTGTAGTAGATGTACGTGTTTATTTAAAAAAAAAAAGGACTAGAGAGGCCGTATAGATAGAGGTCTAGGAGCGACATGTTGAGGCAAGCCTTTTCCAACCTTTCTCACCTGCCAGTAAACCTGCCCTAGTTTAAGTGAAGTAGGAAGATTCCCTTCATTTATGTTTCAATTAGTGAGTGAAGTGTAATTACTGTGTAGTGATGGATGTCTCAGAATAGATAAGTGAATGTTCAGAGAGACAAGACTGGTGTTGAGCCCGTTTCTTAATCTTTTAAGGAGATAATTGTGGTCAAAGTGGAAGTATTGGCTTTGAGGCAGATAAATCTGGGATTGAACCCAGACTATGCCAACGGCTATTTGTTGACCTTGGGCAAGTCATGAAACCTACCAGAGCTTCAGTTTCTTCATAAGTAAAACGAGTTAAAATTCTTATCTGTATTAAAAGGGGGGGAGTAATGTATTTAAATAACAGCCCATTTTAACGGAAGCACCTTTGAATTGCAAGATGAATTGTTTTCATTAATCCTAAACAGTCAAGGTAGCCTCATTTTGTGAAACAAGGTTTGAGATGGGAAGAGAACTAGATGATAATATTGCAACACATATGTATGCAACAAGATTTTAACTGGTTTCTAGAAACTGAGCATAAGTAACATGAAATTAAGTTATCAGTAGTTATAAAGTAGAATATCTGCATTTATTGAAATAGCAAAAATATGTTTCATAGGTTTTTCTCAAATACTGGTGTATACATTATGGGTTGATATGAAATAATTTTTTTTTTTTTTTTTGAGTTGGAGTCTTACTTTGTTGCCCAGACTGGAGTGCAGTGGCACGCTCCTGGCCACTGCAGCCTCGACCTGCTGGGCTCTGGTGATCCTTCCGCCTCAGCTTTCCAAGTAACAGGAACTACAGGCCTGCGCTACCACGCCTGGCTCATTATTTTGATTTATTGTAGAGATGAGGTCTCACCAAGTTGCCTGGGTGAGTCTCAAACCCACGGGCTCAGGCAATCCACTTGCCTCCACCTCCCAAAGTGCTGGGATTACAGGCTGAGCCACCGAGCCTGGCCATGAAATATATTTAAAAAGTAATGTATGTAAATCTTAATTTACCACCACATATCTCTTTAAAGATAATTTATTTAAAAAAAATTTTTTTTTTGAGTTGGAATCTCACTCTGTTGCCCAGACTGGAGTGCAGTGGCCGCGTCCGGCCACCGCAGCTTCGACTTACTGGGCTCCGGTGATCCTTCCGCCTCAGCCTTCCAAGTAGCCGGAATTACACGCATGCGCTACCACGCCTGGCTGATTTTTTGATTTATTGTGGAGATGAGGTCTCGCTGCCCAGGCGGGTCTCGAACCCGCGGGCTCAGGCAATCCACTCACCTCAGCCTCCCAAAGGTGTGGGATTACAGGCTGAGCCATCGAGCCCTGCTTAAATTTTTAAAATTTTTTAGTCAGAGTCTTACTCTGTCGTCCAGGCTAGAGTGGAGTGGCACACTGAAGCCCGCTGCAGCCTCTGCCTACTGGGTCTCAGGCAATCCTGCCTCAGTCTTCCAAGTAGCTGGAACCACAGGCATGCACTACCACACTTGGCTTATTTTTTGATTTGTTCTAGAGACAAGGTCTCACCAAGTTGCCCCAGGCTGGTCTCAAACCCCTGTGCTCAGACAGTCCTCTCGCCTTGGCCTCCCAAAGTCTTGGGATTGCAAATGTGCCTCACTGCGCCTGGCCTTAAAGAGAATTTAAATTGGGGTGTAGAATAGAAAGTAGTTGTAAACTTAAGATTAAAATCAACATCAGTAGCATCATTTATCTTAATTAGATTGATTGTTAGCAAAATAGAATTCTTGTATATAATATTCTGTAAAACAAATGAAAATGAAATACCTTTCTGTCTTAAAACATTCATCAGAATATGGAAATAAATCCAATAAACATGAAGTCTTTACATTCATTTGTTTTGTGGATTTCAAATAATACAGTTACATGTAGCCTATTACATGTCAGATTTTCAGCTAACATAATTTGCTTTTTGAGGCAAATTGTAGTTAATTTAATTTAATTTATTTTTTGAGTCAGAGTCTTACTCTGTCACCCAGGCTGGAGTGCAGTGGCAAGCTCATGTCCACTGCAGCCTCTGCCTGCTGGACTCAGGTGATTCTTACATTTGAGCCCTCCCAGTAGTTGGAACTGCAGGTGCTCACCACTATACCCAGCTGTTTTTGCTTGTTTGTTTTTTTGTTTTTTTATTGTAGAGATGAGGTCTCACCAAGTTGTCCAGGCTGGTCTCAAACCTTCTTATCTCTGCCTCCCAAAGTGCTGAGATTATAGGTATGAACCACCTTGCCTGGTCAGTAATTTAAAAGTTTTAAATGTACTTTATACTCAAAGAACAAAAATCAAGTAACTTGCTGTTATAATAGACTTTTTGTGTGAAAACAAAGTTTGTGATTTTATATCTTTTTAGAGAGGTGTATAGGTTTTGTATAAATTTGAGAGAAATTGAGACCAACCTGGGCAACATAACGAGACCCTCATCTCCATAAAAAAAATAAATAAATAAATAAATTAGCTGTGTGTAGTGATGGATACCTGTAGTCACAGCTGTTGGAAGACTGAGGTGGGAAGATCACTTGAGCAGAAGAGTTCCAGGTTACAGTGAACTATGATCATGCCACTGCACTCCACCCTGGGATAGAGGGAAACTCTATCTCTTTAAAAAAAAAAACAAAACAGGCTGGGCTCCATGGCTCATGCCTATAATCCCAGTACTTTGGGAGGCTGAGGTGAGAGGATTATCTGAGTTCAGGGGTTTGAGACCACCCTGGGCAATTAAGCAAGACCCCATCTCTACAATAAATCAAAAAATTACCCAGGCATGGTGGCACGTGCCTGTAGTTCCAACTACTTGGAAGGCTGAGGCAGGAGGATAACTGGAGCCCAGCAGGTTGAGACTGCGGCAACCGTGAGTGTGCCACTGAATTCCAGCCTGGGTGACAGAGTGAGACTCCAGCTGAAAACAAAACAAAACAAAAAAAACTTTTCTGAGAGTATAAAGTTTTTATATATCTAAGCTTTTTGCTGTGCTTTCTTGTATCGTTATTTTTCATCATTATTTTAAATCTTTTTTTTTTTTTTTTTTTTTTTTTTGAGGAAGAATCTCACTCTGTTGCCCAGGCTGGTGTGCAGTGGCATGCTCATGGCCACCACAACCTCAACTGAGCCCTTGTTGGGCTCAGGTGATCCTTCTGCCTCAGCCTTCCAAGTAGTTGGAACCACAAGTGCTCACCACCATGCCTGACTAATTTTTTGATTTATTGTAGAGATGAGGTCTTGCCAAGTTGCCCAGGCTGGTCTCGAACCCCTGAGCACAGGCAATCCTCTTACCCTCTACTTCTCAAAGCATGAGCCACCGTGCCCAGCATCTTTCACATCTTAATGTTGAGATCATGTTATATTGCTCTGGTAAACCTATCAGAAGCTCCCATTTTCCCCTGTCTTCTCATAAAACTTTAATAATTCATTAATATTGATATAAGAGATAGGATACTGGCTGCTGGAGTAAAAAGTTCTATCTAAATTGTGTACAGCAAATAGAGGCTGTTAGAGATTTCTTGATGACCTCTTTTACTCAAAGTCTGTGATCATTCCAAGGATCTTTGCAGTTGTCAGTTATGGAATTTGCTTGTCAGGAAATCTAAAAATGACTAAACCCTCCTTTAATATCTATCTCTTGGATGACCTCAGAAAGTTTTTTTTTTTCCTGAGTTGGAATCTCATTCTGTTGCTCAGGTTGGAGTGTAGTGGCACGCTCATGGCCACCACAGACTTGACCTGCTGGGCTCAGGTGTTCCTTACACCTTGACATTTCAAGTAGCTGGAACTACAGGCACGTGCCACCACACCCAGCTAATTTTTTGATTTACTGTAGAGATGAGGTGTTGCTAAGTTGCCCAGGCTGGTCTCAAAGCCATGGGCTCAGGCAGTCGTCTCACCTCAGCCTCCGAAAGTGTTGGGATTACAGATGTGAGCCACCACACCTGACCCAGGCCTCAGAAAGTTTTAGGAAAGATTGGGAAGTTTTATGTACCATACATAATGAACAAAGTATGATTAATTTTATTGGTGCTGTCAAGTCAGGAGTGAAAGAGTTACTGTGGAAATGTTAAAAAAAGTTCCAGGCAGTGCATTCTTATTAC